CGTCACACGCACTCAAATTTTGCGCTCATTCTGCCAGGCAGTGGGCATTCAACTGCTCTTGCACGAGTATCCTCTTCTTCCACCGAACGGCGCCCGACATCACTCACGCCCGGTATTCTCTTTTGAAGATGTGGTTTCTATCTATCCGTTGGTAAAGCACCTTCATCCCCACGCCTTCCACGCCTATCGATACTTCACCTCGGGTCAGAGACGCATTGCTGAGGGATTTCTTCAACGCGGCTCTGAGCTGATCTCAGAGGCACTGAATCTCCTTAACACTGTTTATGGTCCTCTGCATCCCGATATTGGCGCCTGTAACAGACTTCTTGCTCGCCTCTCTTACGTCATGGGTGATCACCAAACAGCTCTGCTCTACCAACAACGCGCCACTATGATTAGCGAGCGTGTCCACGGCATTGATAATCCTAGCACCGCTGCTGAATATGTATGTAGCTAATCGGCGGAATAGACGCACTTTTTGATGCTCAAATGCACGTCATAACTTATTTGATTATTTCATCACATGCACAAACACGTTTCGTACAATCACAGTTTTGGCGCCGTCACATCAAGCTTAACTTCAATGAAGCCATAACGATGACCTTAGTGGTTTTACCTGCAAGCTAGGGTCTGTATTGGTGACGAATTCGTTTTGTTTTGCCTATCATCAAATCTTAGTAATAGTTTATTCTGATGACGTGTGTACAAAGTATCGTTGTTATTTGTGCTCCGCTCTTCCAATGTTCGCGTTTGCTTTTGGTTGCGATTTTTGTAGACTCCTTAAAAGTAGCCCTGATGTAGGAGCAGTTCAAAACTGTAGGATTTAAAATATTCAAACTACATTCGAGCACAGAATTTTATTAGTCAATGTCAAGAATTAATTCCTACTTAAACGTTGTAAGTCATAAGCTGTTCCGGTCATATCACATCCTACAAATTATGACTTTCATGCTTCAGATACACATGGCGCTGTATTGCTTCGCCTGTGGCCACGTGTCGATAGCTTTTCAACTGCTTTATCGGGCCCGGTACTTGGCTCTCTTGTTTCACGGTGAAATCCATCCCGAACTCGCCCAAATTGACGTTAACATTAGTCTCATGCTTCACGCGGTGGAGGAGTACGACACTTCTGTTACCTTCCTTGAAAACGCCCTCAAGTTGAATAAGATGTAAGCTTAGTGAGGATACGTTTCTATTTGCCTCCATCAAACTGAACGGAATAGATTTTGGTACTTTAAATCACAGTTTCCACGGTGAAAAGAGCTTGAAGGAGGCATTCAACTCTCACCTTTTGAGTCAGACTCATGCCTACAGAGGCGACTTTCGTTCGGCGTTGGAGTGTGAGAAGCGTCGTTACACTATCTACCTGGAACGGTTTGGTGAGAACAGTGAATATACCCGAAACAGCTACGAGTGCCTACACAAACTCACTCAGCAGGCCGTCAATGTGGCTCGCCAGCTGCAAAAGCCCTTCGGAGCCTCTAGGACCTCAGACACCCTAAATGGTAATGGGAGGGCAAAGAAAGTGGCTGCCACTTTGGGGCTCGGTCAGGCTCTCCCCACACCCAGCTTTTTGACCATTCTCGATACTCTTAATCGAGTAAACGGAATTTTTTATGTCCACCTAAAGTAAGTTTCCGTCTTTTCATTGATGGTATTCTGGCACCTAGAAATGGAAGGGAACTGAGCGTATCTTGTTTTTGTTTTCTTGAACTTGAAATCTGATAAACGTATGAAAGAATTCTATTTTTTGCTATTAGTCCATTGGTTACCGTTTCTAGAGGAGACGGCGATAAAGATGGCTTGAGCAGAAAGGAAGCGAATGCGGTGCAAATTTCCCCTGCCGAAGACGATGGTGATTCACCAAAGTCCTCTGCTGGAACGGCCGTTTCTGCCAACAAAGTGGAGTGAGCTCTCTGATTCTCTTCCCGTTCCCTCTTTTCTTCGCCTTCCATCTGTACTAACTTTCTAGAAATTAAAATTTGTACACAATCGTCTTCACTACGGGCACGGCAACTATGATTAGCGATCTGCACCAACATTGCAGTCCCAGCCAGAATTCGGGATATAACTTGTGTAGCCACCATTTGTTCTCTACCCTTCCCCCTTTTTCTGCCCTGTACTTCTTAGAACTCGTTTCTGGCTGTGTATTGTATCCCCTCGCGCATAGCTGTAGTACGTGGGAGTGTTTTTCGCTTCGATGCTAAGGGCAGTCCTGCTTTACATTTATTACTATTTTTAATAATCAAAACATTGTGTAGTGCTATTCTTCCATGCGTTTTTTTTTGCGTAATCAAATTGCCCTTTGGGTAGTCTGTGTGTGCGTACAGATTTCTGCAAAATTGAACTTTAGGAAATTGTGACATTTATTTCACGAGTATGAACCCGTGACGTGAAGTTGAGTTCAGTGGTCTATTAACAGTTATTTCGAATTCGGCTGTTCTGCTTTAAATTTTTACTTTCTGGTATTGCGTTCGTATGCATGTATGTACTGTATTATTATTGCGCTTATGTATTGAGTGGAGGAACCGGGTTGGCGTGACCACTGGTCTTGTTGTCCCTCCCCCTCGCCTATAACTTTGATTTATGTACACGTGGCTTAGGGTCACCGTTTTGGGGACAATGATTGCTTTGCAGGGCTTGCAGATGACGATGACTAAAACGAACAGTCAGGGCGTGACTCAACGTTGGCAAACCGACCAAGAGGTGCGTTTTGTCACATCTAAAGGGCTATGGGTTGCATTAACTGCTTCAATTTGAAGCGTAATGGTCGTGTGAAATGCAACCTTAGCCCTGGAGTATAAATGATTTTGGTAAGCTTAGTTGCATTCATGTGGAAGGCTTCATCTGCTTAAGGGATTAGATAAGGCTCTTGGAGGGAGAAATGCGACTTTTCACCAGAACAGGGTACATTTTCAAACCTCTTCATGGGCTCAGGCTAACGGAGTGTAGTGGGTTGGGGAACTAGTTACTCTTTTTACTGCTTCTGAATTACAAAGGCCTTTCAGGACTTTTCGATACCATTCAATTTGAACTTTTGCGCCAGTTTAATGTGTGGTGAATTGCACTTATATTGCTATTGAACTATAAAACTATTCTATAGTTGCTCATAATTGGTATGTCAAAAGAGTTCTAAAACAATGCCCAGGAGTAATATACTTGACTATTAAATTAACTTAAAGGAATGAGGTTGTGTCGATACACTTGGACACATCTCGCTGGGTTTTTAAAAAAAAACGTTTTATAGTTGCAGATAGGTTTGCAAAGCCATCCTTTGCCTCTAGCTTTGCAATATATTGTTGGCGCAATCAAGGACAGGTGCAACATCAGCTATGTTTACTAACGTTGAGACTATTGTTGTCTGCCTTGCTATGCCTCATGTGAGAAGCCGAACATTTTGCTACTGCGGCGGCTCTCATGGCGTAAAAGATGTCTTTAATTCATGTGACTTCTAACATTGTGTGGTGCACACGGCCAGACAGTGTCCTTTTCAACCAGCCTGAAAATAATTTCACATAAACACCAGTAGTTGCCTGGAGGATGGAGCAATGACTTGAACGGCCTAGTACAAAAGGAGCAGAACCGTGTTGCTTACTTGAAGGCGACAATCATCAAATCTAACTCAATACCAACTCTAGCATATTTTTACTATTGAATATGAGCACAATTAAAAAGTACGACCTATTCTCAGGTGTATTCTGGCGTGTTGCCGCTAAACCAGCTTCCCCGCTTCTCAAGTACGACAGACCTCCTCGCGCTAAGCAATTTTTTAGTTAGGCAATCGCTTTCCGCCTATCAAATTGAAGCTGCTCTGTTATTGGTTTTCGGTGGGTGTGACGTCAGCCAGCTGATGTTCAGCTAACCAATGAACTAAGCACAAATATGTGGCGGTATCGACTAAAAGCCAATCACACATCGGCACTCATTCTTTTTGGAAAAGCTTGGGTGTGTGTGTCTAGTTCTGGGAGGTGCTGTAAATGCCCAATTTTCGTCACTACGGCGCCCTTTTTCATTTCCAAGGTAGATGAACCTCAACTCAAAAGGTGGTGTATATTCGAGTGGAGCTGTTTGCCCACCACCGCAAATTGCTCTTTCACAGGTAAAGTCGACGACAAAAAGAGAATCCAGAGGAGTACCCCCAAAATCTGCGTCTGTTGAAGCAAACTTCGGAACCCATGTTACTTTGGAGGATGCACACACGGAAGTGTGTCAGAAAACACAGGGTGGTTATGGCTACGACGTTGGACTGCATTGGAGGATACTAGCAGCCATACTCTACGGAATATATACTTGGTTTCCCCTCAACACGGCATCTCGAATTTTTGGGCGGCTATCCCGAGTCCCACTCCCACGAGTTTTGCGAGGTCCAGTAGTGCGAGCTTACGCATGGATCTTTAGTGCTAGGCTGGAAGAAGCTGAATTTCACAACGATTTGGCTAGGTACAACAGCATTTCCCACTTTTTCCGACGTCGTCTTATTCCTAGCGCCAGACCTGTGGATCCTATTTCCTCTCTGGTAAGTTTTGGCATAAAGCCTACTATTAGAGACCATTTATATGCGCACTGTAGACCAGTTGTTCCACAGGAAATCGCTCTGCAATAGATAACGGCGCTTTGTCCTCCTTGGTTATTATCTGCCACATTAGATCGACATCACGTGAGCTGCTTCACGGAACGTTAGAACTAGATGAATTTGTGAGATGTGGAAGAAGTGTTTACTTTTTTCTTTGAAGTGCGAGATGTTTTACTTTCACATACCTCAAATGACAAGGCTATCTATGTAACTCTACATATTCATTGGCTTCTATGAGTAGATTAACAATGTCAATGGATAGACAACAGTGCTTTGAGTAATTACATTTTCATTCTAAGCCCCTCAATACGCTGTAATTAGCACAGTGTTTACTACGCCTTTAAGGTCATTAAACACGTGGAATAGCATATTATTCGCAGTGAAATCTTCACAGGCCTGTTTAAGCGCATCTACTGCTATCATTTATCATTCACTGACCCTCTAATATTCCGTCTGGTCAAATATCAATGTGAGCTAAGGTCAGGGTAGTTAATCTTGGAGCTGCTTTCAGGCAAAGCCCTTAGTTTAAACACTCACGCAGCCTTTTCATTATCGCCCACATTTCACTTCGCGGTAATATTGAGCGCAGACTTTTCAAGGATAGCCATTGTTTCTCCTAGAGTAAACATAATCGCCACAAAATTTGTCTTAAATTGAAGCATGTTCCCTACACGACGATAGTGTCACTCAATCAGACAGTTTTGAAGATGTACACTGACCAATGCAGTTCTTTTCCCTTATCAATTGAAGCTTGTATAGAATCATGTCTAACGTCCTAGTAAGATGCGAATTTGCTTCACCTTGAGTCGCTCGTTTAAAGCATGGACTCCTTAGTGTATTTCTGTTGCCTTCTTAGAAAATGATGTCAACTTTAGTTTCAAGATGAGGTGTTATCCTCTAAATCGCCTTGGTGACTCACTAAAAGTGAGTGCTGATTAGTTCAGAATTCTAATTCACTTGGTTAGGACGTCTCTCTCATATAAAATGTCGGTAATTTCCATTTTGGTGTTGCGGGAGTTGCTTGTTTACAGCGAAGTTGGGGTGAGTGTTACATCTCTTATTGAGAGATGATTAAGTTGTTACTGAACCATCTTGCGGGTGCTTAGTCGCAAGCGTTCCCTTAATCTGCACATGGGAATCCTCCTCTTCTGTAAAGGATTTTGAATGCTTGCATCCCGAGCGCCCACAGATCAGGAAAGCCAGATGGTCCGGCCAGACTTTTCAAGATGCGATTTTTAAGCCATCACAGTAGGATGGTGTCTCTAGAGTGTGAGATTGTTGTTATTCAGGACCTTAGAACTCTCCTTTGGGTGTGTACTGGTGAAGGACTCACCTCACACGATTGACGTTAGTTCTATATTTGGAAATCCTAATCGCGAATGAACAGGAATGTATATCGAAGAGTCTGGGTTTTGGCTCGACCACGTGCAACCAGGTTCTATTGACCCTCAATGTAGGTGGGGAATGCTAGCGTGCAGCAGTGAGCGCGGTCTGCCACAAAACATCTGAGGTATAGGTGTCAGCTCCTGTGGATTTTTAAGGTTGGAAGCTATTGAATAACATAGTTTGCATAGGGCTGTTACAACTAGCTTTATGTTTCAGTCAACACGAAGGTGTCGAATGTAGGCATTCACGATGGAAGGCAGGGTTCGGCTCTGGTTGCACATGTCATGAACCTGGAGCCAAACTGTGATGTTTAAAGGTTATCTACTATTATAAAACGTTATCATCACCCGAATGTCATTTTGACGGCGTTTGATTAACGTGACCTGGAGAATATGTCCGGTCAAAAAAGGTAAAATCAACGTTCATGGCTCGGATAAACAACCGCATTCTCGACCGCATGGCCTACTTTTCAGCTGTAAACTAATGGCACTTTGCTGAATCATGACTCTTCACATAATCGTGTTTCAGAAGAGGAGTTAGTTCATTAATAGGTGTGGCGTAAGCACCCTCCCCACCCCGCGTGTGGGCTTGTGGGGGCGTTCGTGAGTAATACTTGAGGTCAGCTAATCCAGACGGTGGTGCGATTGGTCCATGTTAGTTGGGCAGCGATGAGGCTGAATGACCGAGAAGTGAACGCGGCATTGGCTTCCATATTAGTCACTATCGCATTCATAAGTTTCTCCAGAAGACCACTGTGATTTCGGTCATCCGACGATAAGCGTGTAGGGCGAACAGTTTTCCGTCTTAACTTGTCTCTGCTTCTGGAACTTCGACCAGTACTACTAATATTTCGTCTTGGCTTTAAAAAAGAAAGGAAATAACAACTGACAGGGTCTGTAAGGTGCACGTCAATTTCAGATTCAAGGGAAAATGCGCATTTTTAAGGCTTAGAGTATTTAATTCATGCTTCAGAAGTTGATTGTGTCAGAATGTATTTTGATTCCATCCTTGTCCGAGCTCTTTCTCTTTTATATTTTTTTATCTCAGCCGTGTTTGGTAATGCGCACCATTTGGCACATCTCACTTTTTGTGAATAGTTTGGTACACCTTTACTTCGCCTTTTTTCCGGTGGTTCATCTACGCATTCAGGATTCAGCAATTGCAATTTTTATTTTTTTTCTTTTCCCACTCATCACAATTTGGTTTCTTTCAGGGGTACAGTCAGCCCCACTTTGGTATTTTTTGCTGCCAGGCCTATTGGACACATCAGTTCCGCTACTTTGACGTCAACGGGGAGCGGGCTTTGCCGTCTCCGCCTATGACGTTTACCTATTCTGGGCTTTTTGGTCACCAGTTGTCAAACTATAGGCGCCGCAAATGGTGCATATGCACTCCGTCACGGCATACAGTTTGTGTTTATTTGACAGCCAACGACTGCCATAGGCAGAAGATAATTTGTTTGCGCCATTGAGTGATGGATGAAGCGTTGCCGGAATGAAACGCAGTATTACTCCACTTTATGGCTTGGATGCAAATCATTTCCGAATCAAGTTGGTTACTGATGACAATAAACGAACTCGAAATGCTTGAAGGCATTGTGTTTCATAGAGGCGGGAGGGAGAGAAAGTAAATGTCTGTAAAGAAATTGAATTAATTTTGGCATTCTGCAACCCAGTTTTACTACTTTC